GAAGCGGCATCAAAAGGTTAAGGGAAAATGATTTTCAACAGAGAATCCTGCACTCCACCAAGCCATCAATCAGGAGCGATGTGAGAATCAAGTTATCTTTCATTGAATCCTTTCTTAGGAAGCTACTGGAGGAAGTTCTCCCATAAAATGTGGATGTAGACTAAGTAAGATCATGCTGTGGGATCTAGAAAAACAGTGTTCCAACATTAGGGAGTGACCTGGGAACCCCCATGGTGACAGCTGTAGCCGGCAAGTCGTCCAGAGAAGAGTGGGAAGATCAGGGGCTTTGGTCAAAGGCCAGCACTGGGAGAGAGGCAATGGTAGATGGTTATGCTTAGTATTATTTGATCTTAAAAACCTATTTGCAGGCAGTGCCTGTGGCTCAAAGGAGTAGGGCGCTGGCCCCATATGCTGGAGGTAGTGGGTTCAAACCCAGCCCCAGCCAAAAAAAGACTACAAAAAACCAAAAAAAACAAAACCTATTTGCATCTATTTCTTTATTAAAGTTAAGTAATTTAAAGTAATAGAGAAAACCCCAAAATGTTGCTGAAATTCTTCAGCCTCCTTCAGTGTTTGGAATTTGCTTCCATCCTCAGCAACAGGAGCTCAATACGAACTGGCCCCCTTGAGACCCACTTACCGTTCATCTGACAGAGAAAGAATTGAAAAGATGAACTGGGAAGACAAGGCAAGAGGAGTTTTCCATCTAACAAGTCACGAAGCACACGGATCACAGTGACACAGACATGCTCAGCAGGTCCTAGAAGGCCAGGACGAGGGGGTGAGCCCTGAAAGAATTCTGTGTTTTATAAAGAGGAAGGTGACATAAGCGGTTGTGATACAAGATGACCTAAGGTGAACATGTAAGCATGAGAGATAGATGCACATCTATTTTTAAGATACCATATGCTTCAGAGGTGCACCTCAAAGGCAACCCCTGCAGTCTCATATGTGGTGGCCAAGTCTTTCAGCTGGAGACAGAACTTTGTGGTCATGGCCTTGTCTTTGCATTAGAAACAGGGTCTGAGTCTCCCCCCATTGAAGTACTTAATAGGGGTTATGGATCAGGACAATTCCCACATGCTGTCTTTAAGAATGCAATGACAACAATGTCTCCATTTCTTGAGGACTTTACTATGTGCCAAGAATTGTATAAAGGATCTCTTTAAATCCCTATAAAAACATTAGAGGCAGGAACCTTCACTTCACATATGAGGAAACTGGGCTACAGTTTCCAAAACCAACCCAAAGTCACAAGACGAGCAGATGTCACACAGATATCCTTTGTAGGACCCAGGGCAGATGTCCTACAAAACTTAAGTGCATCTCTCCCAGTTCATCAAGACTTAAGCGCCATGACCCAGCAACTTACCAATAGGACCAGCCATAGTCCCAAGTCTGAGGTTTCCAGTCATCTGGTCCAAGGTTCACAGTGATTTGAAAAATGGTCGTATACATCATGTGGGCCACCATGCCTAGGAGCCCTGCACAAGGAAAGCTTTGTGAGGTACAGTTAAGAAAGTGACATGATGGAAGAACTTCTCTGCCTTGCATGGGTTGCCTGTGAGGCATTTTCTAGCACCCATGAAGTCCATATGATGTGTCTGCAGTTACACATCCTTAAACATTCCACCTGACTTTTCATCCCATTGTAGAAACTAAAGTGGCATCTAGGCCTTCTCACAATCAAGGAGGACCTGTTAAGAGTCTCCAGGAATTCATAGCCTACTTCTTTGCTGCGAAGATCCAGAACCTGAATTTTATCATCTGATTCGCTGATGACAAGACTTGAGAATGAGGCATTATATTTATCAAGCAAAGATATGATCTATGAATTGGACTGATGTGCCATTAACCGAGCTCTGTGCATCCCACTGGAGATCAGAAGGAAGTCATTTATCTGGGGTTCTTTCTTGGTGGAAAGGACCACATGGGAGAACAAATTAAGTTACTGTGGAGAACACAGAGGTAAAACAAACAAAAAAAGGAGGTCTTTATTCGTATAGAATACACACCAAACTTAGATGATCATTTTTTAAAAGCCACCGTTTAAAGTACTCGTTATATTGAAGGTGCACTTTTATTTAGTCATTGCCAAACTTTTTGGGGAGGCTTCATAATGTTCCATCTTAGAGTTAAGTCACTTGCCCAGGGTCACACAATCAATCCTTAAGTTGACAGCTGCACCTGGGTGGGACTCCTCTGCAGACTATGTCTAACCATGTGTGTATGAGAAGATTTCAGTCCTCAGAGCCTGTTCACCCTTTCTGTGGCTGTGATAAATTTGACTCTCCACCTGTGCCTACCCCCTTTTCATCAGCCACCCAAGAAAACATTGTTTTCATCTGATGGGAATAATTCAGTGATTTAGGCAGTGGACCAGCTGTCCTGCTCAACTGGTGATTAACCATTCTTTGGCAATGAGCACTCTCAGCCTGAAGCTCTATCAGGGGTCCTCAAACTTTTTAAACAGGGGGCCGGTTCATTGTCCCTCAGACTGTTGGAGGGCTGGGCTGCGGGTCTGGGACGAGTTGGCTGCTAAGCAGGACAGGCAGCGGCAGCAAAAACACCCGGTGGGCCGGATAAATGTCCTAGGTGGGCTGCATGTGGCCAGCAGGCCTCAGTGTGAGGACCCCTGCATCTATACCTCCTCTGGGGCAGCCTGTTCTAAGGAGGCCAATGGGAAGTACCTGCCAGCACCATGAGGATGGCTACTGAGGCATCCACCTTCAGCCAGTCAAACCCAGAGCTGGTACAACTCACTCTGGATCCCAGAAGGATGGTACTTATCAGCATCAGAAGGATGGCCAGGACCTCAGCCCCAATGCATAGCCACAAAACACCTGCAAAAGAACGGGATGATGGAAAAAATAGGCATTTAGACTTCAGAAGACTAGACTCAATCCTTTCATTTAGTTCATCTCTAAAACAAAAGAGATGCCTCCGCTGAATTTTGGAGAGTGGGTGATGAAGGGGGTCTCCTTGGCATTGAAAGAGACAAAGACATTTGTAAAGATTACCTATAGTTCGGAGGGAAAAAATTAAGCAAAATCCAACCTAACACGTTGTTTTGATTCCACTAGAAGATGTTATCTTTGCCTTTTTAAAGAAGGAGATGCACAAATTTAAACATGGAGGGGAGGTGTGAGAGTTGGAGAGCCCTGTCTGGAGCTATCAAAACCTCATTTGTTTTACTATAAGCCACTTGTTTGCCCTCTGGGTGGGATCCTGCCTGTGGTTTTAAGGAACCACAGTGGATGTGGAAAACACAGGAAGGGATACTGATAATTGCTACTATTTAAGATGTAAGGCAGGTTAGGCACCAAGGACACAGCAATGAATGAAATAGATGTGATTCCTGCTTTTACAAAACCCATGTTCTGGCTGGGAGAGTGCAGATACTGAGAAAGTAATGACAAATGTTATGAGTGTTAGAGAGAAGAAAAAGTGCCCCCAGGCAATGGTGCCCCACAGCTCATCTCTTCCTAACTCTGTTGCATTGGCCTTGCATTTACAGCTTGGTATCGGCCATGGTGGGAATATTTACACCATGGGAAGTGGCAACTGCTGCCATTCTGGACTTTGCCTCTCCCCTGGAAAGCTAGTTGTTAAACATTTGCCAGCACTCCACTGGCTGTGGGGCAGACGAAGAGAGTCTGTGATTCTAGCTTTTGGACTTGACTTCATTGAAAAACCATCAATAACTCTCTCATTTTTTCCCTCACTCCTAATAAAAACAATACAAATTATCTAAATTGTGAGAAGTGCTGGTGGTAAGGGCATGAGTAAGGTATTTACCTTGTTCTTCAGCTGGTATTATAGTCCAGAAACTCCTACACTTTTCATCTAAGAGATAAAAGAGAATGCATCCATAAGTAGGATTAAATTTTACAGCTGGGGGCAAATGGTGCTTCTGCTCTCTTAGCTGTTTCCCAGTTCATGCTGAACAAGAAATGGGGAGCATAGTGGAGTGTTTTACCATGATACCATCCGCTCTATTGAGTGCAGGCTCAGCCACATAACTTTCCTGGCTAGTGAATAGGAAGTGGAAGGGAGGTGGGTTACTTCCAGCCAGAAGCTTTAAGAGCCAACCCCTTGCTCACTCAGTTCTCAATCCCTTGCTCTGTCATCACAGAAGGGTGAGTCAACAGGGAGCCTCCATGCCTGGGACGTTGAATGGCTGCAATGAGGAGAGCCCCCTTGGCAAAGTGGAGCCCCCTTGGCTAATAGAGAAGGAGCTAGAAATAAAGGTGGTGGCTTAAACCACTTGAATTTTGGGGGGTTGTTACTATAGCATAACCTGGCCCCTCTGAGCCAGTACCTTGAGTTTTACACCAGGGACTCTCAGCTTCTGAAATAGCAATCATTATGACACGAGTCTCAGATAACTAGTTTCTGCTTAAAGGGCAAGTGTCAAAGTTTGTAGTGATTTATAAAAATGAAAAAGAGCAGATTTAGAATGCTACCTATTTCCAAGACCCTTAGTGTATGGGTCACCCAGGCTCCTGCATCCCATCATGCTTTCTTGACTGTGAAAGAAAAGGAGGAAACATTGTGTATGCACTGGGTATTGGGCAGAAGCTGCCACCAGACTCATCTGTGGGCTCCAGGGGCAGGTGCTTTGTGTGTGAATGTCGTTTGTCACATTGCACACGTTGGGTGGGAAAGCTTGAGCCAGCACCTTAGATAGTTCCCTCAAGTACACTGAGTCCATGGATATCCACTTGGTGTGCAGATAAAACCAAATTCTGGTTTGGAGGTGACAGATGGAGGCTGAGATCATGGCAAGTCACCCTGTAGGGTGCCATCATGGCTGAGTGTCCTGTTCTCTTTCTACCAACATGTCAGCCCCCAATAGAATCCTCCACAGTTGAGTGGGAGGAGCCTGGGAAGTCCTAGGGCCCCTCCCTGCACAGTTGAGAGTTGTGGGTGGTGGAGGCAGACTCAGTGTCTGGGCTCAGGTCTGCAGGGGCCGGGCCCAGCGCTGCCCTGCTACATCACTGACTTCATACAATCTAGGCAACAGCAAGGAGGGTGCCAGGGGATGCCTGAGACACAGATTACTCCTTCCAGACTGGTCTGGTAGGAGCTAAAACCAGGGCAAGGTGCAAAAGCTATGGGGCACGTGTCATTGGCTCTTCAAAGCAATGGCTTTCTTAGATTCAATAGTCCCTCCATTAGTTTTGCTTTGAGGAGTAAATGAAATTATATACAGGAAAGCTTCTATCACAGTTAATATACACTTAAATCTTACCACAATAAAACGAGTTCTACTGGGGGCTTTTTGCATGTGGTTAGCATGAATCAGTCTTTAGTTCTAGACAATGAGTACCCCAAGGGCAAGGATAACGGCAATTACCTTTGGTAGAAGTTTCCAGGCATAGGAGGAAGTTTGGGGAGCATCTTCATATATCAAAAAACTTCTTTTCTTTTATATGAAGAAAATCCCAGGGAACTTTCCTACTTAAGAACTCACAATGGCTTCCTCTCTCTCTCTCTTTTTGAGTCAGTCTCACTTTGTTGCCCCAGGCTAGAGTGCTGTGACATCATAGTTCACAGCAACACCAAACTCCTGGGTTCAAACCATCCTCTTCCTTCAGCTTCCTGAGTACCATGATGCCCAGCAAATTTTTTTATTTTTAGTAGACATAGGGTCTCTAATTCCTGAGCTGGAGGGATCCTCCTGCCTTGACCTCCCAGAGGGCTAGGATTACAGGTGTATGGCACTGCATGTAGTCAGTGGTTCCCTATTTCTTCTCCCATCAAGTCTACATTTCCACCTTAGTATATGTGTCCTCTGTCTGTCAACCTGACCTCCCAACATAGACCTCATCTTATTGATTCCTTCACATAATCCAGCATCCGCCTTCTCCCTTATCAGGGTCACATGATGTCTTCATCAGAGCTGGCTGCTGTAACAAATTGCATAGCCTGATGGCTTACAACAACAGAAATGTATTCCTTACAGTTCTGGAGGCGGGAAGTCTGAGGTCAGGGTGCCAGCAGGGCTAGATTCTGGTGAGGACCCTCTTCTAGGTTGTAGACAGACTCCTGTATGTTCAAGTGGCAGAAAGATAACTTGCTGGTTCCCTGTCTTTATAAAGGCACTAATCTTATTCATGACCTAATGAATGACCTCATGACCTAATTACCTCCAAATACCATCCTTTTGGGATTAGGGTGATTTGAGGGGCATACACTCAGTCCATATCACATGAGAAGATCATCTGTATGAGCACGCACGTGGTTGCGCAGTATGTGTCAAATGGTCATTAACCTTAAGATTTGCCAAACTCTTCCCCATAAACCTGCAAGTTCCCTTCCTGCTAAGCTGTGGAAGAAGATTATGATTAAACCCTTTGCTTGAGTTTCTTCCCTTGGATACTTTCTGACTAGAACATGTAAGCAGGAATTCAACTGTCGACCCGCAATGGCCTGAAGGAGCATATTTTACACAACCTAGGGCTAAGGATGACAGAACCAGGCACCTGCCTATTCACGTGCAGCTCCAGTGGCCTCTGCAAGATTTTAATTGTCAGCTTTGGCTTAATGCAATTGGACATTTTTCCTGGTTGATTTTCTGATGTTGGCAGCAGCAGCAACACCACAGTCATTGCAGCACAAATTCATCTGAGTTGGCTCAATTCTACCACTGAGATCCCCAACGCATGGAGTAAATCTCAAAACTTGGCACTTGGGGGCTGATGCAGCAGCTTTTTCCACATCATCTCATCTGATCCTAAACACAGCTCTGTGAGTCAGGCAAGCATGAAAGCAGCACATGGGTACCACTGACCACATGTGGCACTTATATCCACAAAGCCTGGCCTCTGTCTGGTTCTGCCACAGTCATCAAAAAAGTTTCGTGACCTCTCTGAGCTTCATTTTCTTCATCTGCAAAATGGATATTATAAAAGTCCTCCCATGACAAAGTTGTGAATGTATTTTGTAAACTGCCTCACGTCTATTTGTGAATTTAATTATTGTAAATTATAAGAATCATTATTTTACAGATTTGAAGGCCAGGCTCAAAAAGGTGGATAGAGTCAGGAATTAAAAACCCAAGACTCAGATCTTTTTGCTACATGGACGAGTGAGGGTCTAACTCAGTGGTTCTCAACCTTCCTAATGCTGCGACCCTTTAATACAGTTCCTGTGGGTTGCGATCCACAGGTTGAGAACCACTGGTCTAGCTTGTCTTCTGAAAGGAGCTGCCGTTTCCAGTGGGAGGAAAGATGAGGCCAGCACTGGGTGGGGCTGGGCAAAGAAAAAGTGAAGGTGGGCCAAGGAGATTAAGAACACTCACAATAGCTTAAAAGGATGAGTTTAGATCAGGCCTAAAGAGTCAGACTGTAGTGACCTCTTTGATTAATATGAATCCTTTGAAATGGTGTTCCTTTTGAATAAAGCCAGCAGGATTAAAAGAAAAAAATCTTTATAAGTCCCGTGAAGCCAGAGAGATGGGGTGTTACATAGCTTAACCATGCTTGGGCAGCCAAGTGGCACAGAGAGCCAGCCCTGGGATGTGGGGCCCAAGTTATCAGTGTTCCATTCTGCCATCCTCTGTCTGCTCATAACTCCCAACCTATTATGAGGTATGGAGGTCCCTCTGTCTTTGAACTATGTGAGTTCAGCAGAATAGCATAGAATCGAAAATCAACACATTTTGCAGATGGATTCACCTAAGTAAAAGTGCTCTAAGTGCTGCCTCCACCAGGAATTTGCATTTCAAATCTTCATTTCCAATGTTGTCTCTCTTTCAAGGCATCCCAGGGAAGAGAGGACAGGATATTCTCAGAGGTGGCTTCTGCAGAGGATGTCCTAAAATAGCACTCCAGGTAAGGGCTTTCCCAGAGGGTCCAGGGCTTTCCAGAGAAGCAGCACCCAGGGCCGCTCCACAGGGCAGCAGAGCGAGGGTGGTCGGACACCCAGAAGCTGCTTTCCCAGGCTGGGGTTCTCATTGCCAGCTCTGTTAGCTCCCCTCCCCTCCTAGCCCTCTCTCCAAAGCGCTGTTTGAGCATCTTCCCTTTTACCACCAGTTCTAGCACTTTTTTGCTTCATATGGCCTAAATCTCCCAGGCACTTGTGACAAATTAGACGAAATAGCAGACATCTGGGTGGTGCAGTCTTCAACTGGGGACCCCAGCTACACTCTGTGGCAGAATACGGTTTGTTTGGTTCATGTGATATTCTCAAATTGAGAAATTTTACGAAGAAATCCAAATATTTTACTTCCAAGGAAAAATCAGAGGATCTGATAATATTGTTGGGCTCACAAGTGCGCATGACCTCAAAGCTGAGCTGAGCAAGAGGCGGCGCCCTCTAGTGGAGGCCTGAAGTACCACGGTCATGGGCATCCTCAGCCATCTTCCGAGCATCCAATAGGAGTTTGAGTTTCTAACTCTGATATGTAGTTTGTGTTTTGCACTCTAATACGTTTGGTATGTATTTATTTTATTATCGAGTAAAAATTTAATTCTAAACTTTTTTTAGATGAATCCTGCCCCAAATGGAGGTGATAGCACTCCGTCCAGGGGAAAAAGGCATTCCGGGGAAGATGACAGGCCGGGCTCAGTGGCTCACGCCTGTAATCCCAGCACTCTGAGAGGCTGAGGCGGTTGAACTCAGGAGTTGGAGACCAGCCTGAGCAAGAGCAAGACCCTGCCTCTGAAAATAGCCAGACGTTGTGCTGGGGTGCCTATAGTTCCAGCTAGTCCAGAGTCAGGAGGATCACTTGAGGCCAAGAGTTTGAGGTCGCTGTGAACTAGAGTGCCATGGCACTCTACCTAGGGTGACAAAGTGAGACTCTGTCTCACAAGAAAAAGTAATGACAATGTTCACAAACCCTGGCTTACCAGGATGACCTTATTATGCTAAAATAATAAATATATAAAATGTGAACAGAGATGGGCACATTTTTAGATTGATGGGCACAGAATTCTTCATTGACAATTATAAGAGTTGTTACCCTTCAGTTAAGTTTTGCACATTGTAGGGTAACAGGAAAAGTCAGGGCTGAGATTAAAGCAATTTGAGTTCCATGCCCAGCCCCATCAGCCATAAAATCATTGATGGGGCCTCCACAACTCAGTTTTACCACCTGTAAACTGACTCTATTATTCTAGATCAGCCTTTTTCAAAGTGCATTACACTGAACAATAGTCTCACAGAATATTCATCCTTATCATACATAAAAAATTTCTTTGATGGTCAATACATTTTGGGAAACACTAGGACAAGTACTATTAAACAGGTTCTTTATTGTGGGATTTTGCAGAGATTTTGCTATGCCAACGTGCATTGTCAATTTCCAAGAAGAAAATATAACATAATATGCAGTATTTTCCAAATTTGTTTGACTATCAAAACTCTTTTTGTTTATTTGGACAACGAGCATCTCAGAAGGCATTCCTGTGAAGAAATCTTTTAGAACATCCAGTGAGGCACTTGTAAGGCTCTTTCTGTCCTGACATTAAGAACATAGTTATATCTAAGCCAGAAAGGAATTGCCATGGTTTTAATGTCTCCTCAACACTCACAGTGACATTTAATCCCCAATGTGGCGGTACTGAGTAGTGGGGCTTCTAAGAGGTTGTTGAAGGCAGAGCCCTTGTGAATGGATTCATCCATTCATAGACTAATGAATTCATGACTTTTTAGAAGAGGATGAGAGACATGAGGTTGGTGCACTCAGCCCCCTTGCTCTGTGATGCCCTGTGCCACTGGGGATTCTTCAGAGAGTCCCACCAATGAGAAAACCTTCATCAGATGAGCCCCCTCAACCTTAACGTTCCCAGCCTCCATAACTGGAGTAATAAATTCCTTTCCTTTATGAATGACTCGGTTTCAGGTATTCTGTTATAGGCAACAGAAAATGGACTAAGACAGAAATCAAGAAATACATCCTTTGTTTCTACTTGGTGTTGGCTGTGAATCACCAGCCTTCCTGAGAATTCAGCGTGTGTTCCTGACAAAATAGAAAAAAAGCCTTTCAGTATTTGGTGGTGTGATCCAGGAAAAGGCCAGGGGTGTGTGTGTGTGTGTGTGTGTAGGAAACACTGCATGGGTTGGCAAAAGTACCAAGGGGAGTTCCTCTGGAGGAACAGTCCCTAAACATTTTGGCACCAGGGACCAGTGTCATGGGAGATAATTTTTCCATGGACTGAGAGGTGAACACATTAGATTGTCATAAGCAGCACACAACCTAGAGGCCTCTTTACATGTGCAGTTTAGGGTTTGTTCTCCTATGAGCATCTAATGCTGCTGCTGCTGTGGCAGGAGGGGGGCTCAGGTGGAGCATTGGGGAGCGGCTCTAAATACAGATGAAGCTTCACTCGGTTGCCCTCTGCTCACCTCTTGCCTTGTGGTTCCTAAAGGGATCTGGGGACCCACAGCTTTAGAGGCAGGAACCTGAAAGAATCCTACACAGTCTCTGCTTTCAGGCTGAGAACACCACCCCATCTTCAACCCCCACAAGCTGGATAACCATTTCTTATCAGAAATGATAAGATTATATTGGGGCATTTGTGTCTACTATCCATATGGTGTTTGTGGGGCCACGTGAGACCCTCATGCAGGTGGCCAGTTTACAGCTGCCTCCTCTCCTCTCCAAATGTCTTGTTCCACCCTTTGTTGAAGTTCATCCTGTGCAGACCTTTTCTTCCCAGCTCCATGATTATTGGGAAGAAGCTTCTATCCGTCTCGTTTTCTTACTCTTGGCCTCAAGTTCAGGTTCTATGATGACCCCTGCTGCCCCTGACATTGTAAATACTAACCTGCCAATTTTCTCCAATGGTGCTTTTTCTTTCTAGGAAATGTTGTCCCACTCAGTTCCTTGTGGTTGGAGTGATAATGACCTTCTGTTACAGGGGATAAGGTGTCTTAGGTGACACAGAAGACCCATGAGAGCTAAGTTCTTCTGTAGCAAGGATTCCTCCTGTCTCCTGCCTCATGTTCTGATGCAAACACCTGGGCTGTACGTCCTTGGACCTTGGTTCACTCAGTTCTGTCTGCCTGGAGTGTCCTTTTCCCCAATCTCCATCCATTAAAATCATAGTCTGTGGGCTTGACACAGTGGCCCCCTCCTCTGTGAGGACTTCCCCATGCCCAGAGCTATAAATCAGCTCCCCTTTCTTTCCATCTCCTGATCATAGATAAGTCTTTGTTATAGCTGTTATCATATTTTCCCTTAGCTACTTTTATCTTAGATCTCCTACCCCCCCCACCCCAGAGCCTTAGCTCCCAGCACTATGGCTCACTCACCTTCGTATCTCCCACTCACTTGGCCCTGGGGCTGACACAGAAATGGCTGCTAGTGAATTCACTCCACACTGTGCCGAATGCCATCTTTCCAGAGGGCTTGGCTATACTCTGGGGCATACTTTACTGTGTGTCATAATCACTGGGGGAACTTATTAGAGATACAGATGCCACCAGATAGAATAGAGACTTGCACAGAATAGAAATACTAATGCTATGAGGATAGGAAAAGAAAAGTCAGTGAGAAACTCCAGGAAAGGCTAAAAGCTTTACAAGAATATTATAAGAATAATTGTAATTATAGCACCCTCCTTGATGCTATAATGAATAATATTGATAGAGTTGGAATAAATTATTAGTTTATTGATTTACATAAAACAGCAATATAACTTTATAAGGAAGATGGAAGAGGATCTTGGGATGTTATGGTATGGAGAGTCCTACTTATTATAACAAAAAGTAAATAGATAATGTTTCTAAAATGAAGACATAGCTATGTCAGCAGAGTTTTTTGGAAACAAGAAAACAAACACTAGGACAAACAAGTAAGTTAAAAATGGTTTCCCTTGGCTCAGCGCCTGTGGCTCAAGTGGCTGAAGCGCCAGCCACATACACCTAAGATGGCGGGTTCGAATCCAGCCTGGGCCTGCCAAACAACAATGATGGCTGCAACCAAAAAAAAAAAGCCAGGCGTTGTGGTGGGCGCCTGTGATCCCAGCTACTTGGGAGGCAGATGCAGGAGACTCGCTTGAGCCTAGGAGTTGTAGGTTGCTGTGAGCTGTGATGCCACAGCACTCTACCCAGGGGTACAGCGTGAGGCTCTGTCTCAAAAAAAAAAAAAAGTGGTTTCCCTTGAAGGGCAGGACTAAATTATGCATGGAGAAGTGGTAGGAGACTGTCAGTTTTTCTTAGAAGCCTTTCAAAATGATTTGATCTCTTATCTATCTATAAATATCACCTGAGTTAAAACTTTTTTTTAAAAATGCAGATATCTACACCCCTTCCATGACCTACTGAATTCCTACCTCCAGATCTGGCACCTGGATTTTTACAAACTCCTTGGTTATTCTGATTTACACGAACATTTGATAATTAGTGTGATGCATCTCTATGAGGCATGATAATGAAGTTCGTGAACTTGTCACTGTGTGCAGAAATGAAGAAAACATTGTAAAAATTCTTTGAATTTGTGTCAAAAATCATTGGCTGAATGTGAGAACATAGTAGCCCGATGAGGTCTGTAGCACTTTTTCTAGGATGAGTTTGCAAACTTAATTGTCAGGACTTGTATATTAACACAGGGTGCCCATAAAGTTCGTATGCAATTTACTATGTTAAACTATTTTAGATTGCACATGAACTTCATGTTTACCCTGGACACAGAAGCACTGTAGGTGGTCCTCAGATAGGGGACTCAGAAAGTGCAATGTCCCAAGCAATTTTCCTATGAATAGAATGACTACTACAAATCTGAAACTGTGTTGGGGACCCTCCAGGATGCAGAGTTATGGGCCTCCCACATCTGTCCCAGAGAATAAACACAGGAAGCACTCCCTGGGAAGAGAGGAACTGGGACGGGTCCTAAAGTAGCTCTGGCTCCAGGTACCGTCGTGGTGTCTGCACCGACTGGGCATAAAGCAAGGGGCACAGGCACTGATCTGGGCACTGCCTCTGGGGGAGGGCGGGGCAGGTGCATGGGTTATTCTCATTGCCTTTCACTTAGGCAAAATACTATGAAGATGGGAAAAGAAAAGCCAATTAGAAACTCCAAGAAAAGTTAAAAATGCCTAAAAGACTTTTAATATGATAAGCCTGGGGTCAGGAGAGAAGTGGGGACAGGTGGGGGTGTCCTCCCCTTTCCACCCTTAGAGGTTTTGCTTCCCCAGCAGAAAGGAGCTGCTCTTGGCTCTAAGCATGATGGACTTGTAGCCTGAATGCCATACAGCGAAGGGTCTAATTCCCCACTTCCTCCATTTCTTTAGGAGGTAGAAAGTACTTTTATGTTTGAAAGATTTGCTCCAAGACCATTCCAAGTGCAGGAGAAATAAAGGGATACATTTTAGAATCAGATAGAGGTCACTTTTGATTCCCAACGGATTTTGAATGCCATGGATTGAGTGACAATAAAATATGGTAAAAGCTAATGTTTACTAAACACTTGCAATGTGTCAAACACTGTTGCAAGTGCTTTATGTGAATTTAATCGTTTAGTCTGCACAATGACTCTAGAAGCTAGAGTAGGGACGGCTGTTGTTCCCATTTTATAGATGAGAAAACTAGGCTCAGAGAGATTAAACTTGCTCATGCATACCCAGTCAGTGGAAATCTGGGATTCAAACCCAGGCAGCCTGTCTCCAAGGCCCCTGTTCCCCCTGCACCTGTCACCCCCGAACCTGCAGGCCACACTCACCTGTGCTGTGGAAGCTCTCCTCACAGGACTGCCAGAGCCCCACGTGGAACCTGTGCTGGATGAACTTGTCATCCCCCACCTCCCAGATGTACTGGACAGCCCGGCTCTCGTCGTCCCTCCGGCCACCACCGCCCTGGCTGAAGTGGATGCAGTGCAGCCCACCCAGCTGGTCCTGGCACAGCGGCTTCACCACCTGCCGGGTCCCCTCGCACCAGTGGCTACTGCCCAGGGCAGTGAGGGAGAAGGCCAGGGCCAGGCAGACGGGGAGGAGGGTCAGTGCCCGCTGCCGCCTGGCCCTGTCCATGATGGTCTGAGGCACATGGGGGCAGATGGAGCCGTGGGCCCCCGCTTCCTGCCGTGTCAGGGTATCGGCTCCGCAGCCCTGCCATCTGGTGTCCTGACGCAGCCTCCTCCCCAGGGAACCTGAGTGTGTGTCTGTGCAGCTGCTCACAGTCCCGTCAAGGGGCTCAGCTCTGTAGTCCTCCCCAGAGTGTAGAGGTGCAGGGGGGCGCTGGGCTTTTTTTAAAATTATGGTAAAATGCACACAACATGAAATTCACCATCTTAACCATTTCCAAATGTGCATGTTGGTGCCATTAAGTACATTGCCCCTCTTTACAGACAGCTCTACCACCCACCTCCAGAACTTTCTCATCTTGCAAAACTAGAGCTCTGTGCCCCGCCCCGTTCTCCCTCCCCCAGGCCCTGGCACCCACCATTCCACTTTCTGTCTCTATGAATCTGACTACTCTAAGGACCTCATGTAAGTGGAATCATATGGTATTTACTCTTTCGTGTCTGGCTTCTGTCACTTGGATGTGTAGCATGTGTCAGAATTCCCTTCCTTTCTAAGGCACAATGATATTCTATCGTCCTTATCACATTTTTTTTATCCTTTCCTCTGTTGAGTGACACCTGGGTTTTTTCCACCTTTGGGCTATCTTGGAAGGTGCTGGTTTTGACTGAGGACCAGGGGTGTTTGGGGGAGTGTCTGGCTGACACTGTTTTATGCTTACCCTTTTCACAGAACTGGGTGCTCAGTATTGGAGTCCTGAAATGGGTAATCCTGAGGCCTTTGTAGGAGAGAGGGACTCAGAGCACAGCTGCTTGTTTCAGTGGCTCTGTGAGAGGTGAGGCACAGGCAGGCTGCTCAGGACCCAAGTGCTATATGGAATGGGGAGGGCAGTGTGTACCCAACTTGGGTGCAGAATTCCGCACCACCCTGGGGCCTCAGAAGCTGGCAGAGCCCTCTCTTAGCACCACCTCTCAGGCCCTTGCCAAATGGGACAATGGTAGGAGCAGTGATGTCAAAGATCCTTAAGGAGCAGAGAACAAGGATGGAGGGAGGGCAGAAGATTCTGCCAGGCATCTGAAACACACAGCTTCTTGACTACGTGTTAGACACCTCCAGTAGACCCCCAGATCTAACCTGGGAAGTAGGAGAGAAGGGCAGTACCTCTGGGTTAGTATCACCACATCTGTACTTTCCCACTGGGGAATTTGAGGAACAGTGCCGGGCCTTCTCAGGGGCCTCACAAACCACGCCTGTGTCGCGTGGGAAGAGGCATTACCGTGTTTTATCACTAGATGGCATCCAACCCACAGATGGACGAGGTCCTATGTGGCTCCAGTGCTCATCCCTTCAGGAAAAAGGTATCTTCCAGAAAAGTTTCAAAGAGATGAGGTAGAATATTCTTAGAAAGGAGACATTTTCCTTACCAGCATGCAACTTGAGAGATCATCTTTAACGTGCAGTGATAGGACAGTATCGCAGCCACATCTGAGGGGTGGGAGTCCGTCACCTGGGCAGGGTCTCCCTCTGGGTCACTTCATTCTGTTCCCTGCTGGCTCGAGAGATGACTACATTGATTGCAGAGGTCACACCATCCTAAGAGTTTATTTTGGGGAGTGAATCTGTTCATATTGTGCATTTTGTTGCTAAGGTTTAAAATCTTGCCTTGTGGAGTTTTTAATATTTCTATTGAGTGAAGTGCCCCTGTTTTCCTCCACTGTTCTGGATTTACTCAGAGAAGTTGACTGAGATGAACTCCTGTGGTTTGCCTTGAATGGAAAAAACCAAAACAACAAAATAAAAATAAGCAAAAATCTATTCTTCTTACCTCTTACTGACCAGAAGTTTCATCCAGTCAGGACATCCTCTGACCTGGGCCTCCAGTTTGGGACACCAGGAGACTGTGGAAGCAGATGCTGGGAGTTGGCTGGACAGAGGTGGGGTGAGGCAGGGCCAAGCAGATCCTTCCTGAGGCATGGTTGTGAGCCTAAAAGAGAATAGGAACTCACCCAGAGAAGGTCGGGGTAAGGAATGGCACTTTCTCAAGTAGCTGCAGTCAGATGACTCTGGTCAGAAGACCTGGGTATTCTGCTTACTTGCTGTGTGGTCTTGGGCCAGCAACATAACCTCTCCGAACCTCAATGCCTCCCAGCTGTCAAATGGAGAATCAGTCATACTCTCATAGGGTTATTGTGGGGATAGGGCGGTGGATGAAAAGATTTTCTAATGTGAATTGTGGTGAGAATGTACTAATATGTTAGTTAATAAGTGACGAATCAGGAAGTCTATAAAAAAGGATCATCTGCCAGGTGGGCTGAGCAATATGTGCTCAGTAGAGGTGGGCATTCAATAGGGAAAGTGTTGGAGTTTCCAACACACTGTTTTGCTATTGTGTACACCCTAGGATTTTGCTTCAGGTCCTGGGCTGGGAACTTCTCCCTCCTAGGTGAATCAACGGTCTCCTATACTCTCGCCATAAACAGTGTTAGGAGGGCCTGGAGAGCTTTAAGAAGCAGAGGACACGGATGAAGGAGGGAGGGCAGGAGAAGATTCCTCTGGACATCTGAAACATACAGCTTCTTGACTACAGGCCTTTGTGGACCTGCCTCAGCCTGGCCTGCACAAGCTTGATGCCTTAGAAAGAGATATCACCTCTCAAAGAGACACTTGCCTCCGAACTGCCTCAGGGCCCATCGTCCCCTGCCGGCTGTCCCTCTGCAGCTCAAACCCCAGCCTTTCTCAGCCTGGCTTTGTACACGGAGCACAACCCATGGTGTAGAACCCACTGAGTGCCTTGCTCTGTCTCCTTGGCCTGCTGAGGAAATCCCAGGGCCTGCAGCTGACGTGGGGAAGGTCTGGGAAAAATCTCCCTGCTTTTGGAGGGGTGGGGGCGGGGGATGAGCCTCTGCTGCTGAAGACCTCTGGAGATTGGGTAGGTCGCTCTAGACCAGTTCAGACGCTCCCGGCACGGCGTGGAGAGGATTTGTGCAAACATTTCTTCTCTGGACAAAGAGGAATGCAAGAGGAGGCCGCCTGTGGTACATCGTGGACTGCTGGAGAGATGTGCCCGCACTTGTGAAAGTGCACGAGGATGACAAAGCCAGAACCGAGCAGGAGGAGAGTGGGACCCCTGCCTGGGGTCCCTGAGCTGCCCATGGACATCCCTGCTCCTGGAGGGGCCAGTCCTCCCCCCTCTCCTAGGAAGCCTTTGCTCCGGACCCCTGGAAGGCCCTTCCTCATCCTGGTGCTGCTGGGTTCCATCAAACAAGTAAGAGCAGTTCATTATTATTATTGCTAATGATGATGATTGTCAATATTATCAGTTGTGCATATTTTCTGATTATAGAAGCAACTTAGACCTCTTGTCAGCAATTTGGAAATAGAAAACAGTATTAAGGAGGTAAGGGTCAGCCACAATCCTAACATTCAGAAGTAATCACTGCTAATATTCTGACATATTTTCATGCATTTTTTAAAGAACAGTTGAATCACAAAACATAACAGTTTGCATCCCGGTCTCCCCTTTTGTGTAAGCATCTTCCTGTGGCAGCATGAACTCCATAAATAGTATTTCAAATTGCTGCATAGATACTCCTGGGTGCCTGTCGCATTCCCTGGGTTGGAGTATTTTGGTTGAACAGACAGTTGTCTTTCTTTTCCTTGTTTTTCTTCTCTCTTTTCTTCTTTCTCATAAAAATACAGCACACTCATCATTTAAAAATAAAAAAAAAAAGCCTATAAAATCTCAAAGAGTTAAATACAAACTACAAATCTCTGTAACTCCACCGGCTGGAGATCACGCTCATTCACGTCTGGGGGCTGTACGTCCAGGCATTTTTCTATCATTTGTTTGCATACAGTATTTTCAAACAAACATAGGAACATATGATAAATATTATTTTGTAATCTTTTTTCCTAACAAAACACACTGATAGTACAGCGAAGATTTTTACCGAACACTTTCTATGATGTCGCGTGGGGTCTGTGCCAACTTCTCTTCCCTCCCATCCCATCTTATCTCCCTCCTTTTTTTTCTCTCAGCCTCCCTTTGGGGGAAGTTCTCTCATTAAACTCATTTTATGGATGAGGAAGCGAAGTCTCAGGGAGGATGAGTAACATCTTCCACATCAGTCAATGTAGATCCACGGCCGGCCATCTGAGGGCTTTGAGGACATCCTACAATGCATTTAACCATCTTCTCTAGTCGGGCATGCTGGTAGCTCACCGTGTTCTTCTCCAAGGAGATTAGATCTCTGCCCCTTCCCTTTTCAAGGTTCCATTTTTATACTGGGCTATGAAGGGAAGGAACCCCCATTCCACTCATCTGTGTAAAGAGAGCAGATTGAAGAAGGGCTCTTCCTCCTCTGTTCCATGGTCAGGATTGGTTCCTGTTGGCAGCTTTGAAACTCTCAATTCCTCCTGCTCCAATGAGGGAGGGCTGAGGCTCACTGTTTTTTAGTGCTAGCTCCCCAGACCAGAGAGGCAGACTTGTCCACATCCACATTCTCCCAGAGGCTGCCTTTCAGCCCTCATGGATGCCAGTGTTGGCTTGATCAGTTTTCATGGAATTCTTGCCATGATGCCAGAACACTGATGACAGGCAGGTGGCCTTGGGCCTGTTCTGGCCCCAAACGTCAATCCATTAGTGGGGGCCCTTGGTAGGAGAGTTGATACAGAACCATTGTCCTTGCTTCAATTCTCTGGATATCTCATTGTATGCAGGCAGCTGTGTAGTTTTGTTCACAGACATGCGTAGAATGCCAAGCACATGTCAAGCCCTGCTGCAGCTCTTGGCATGTTATTGTCAAATGCTTCCTCACACATCATCTTGTTAGTCTTCACACAAGCCTCTGAGAGTATTATTATTATTATTATTTTGGCAGTTTTTGGCTGGGGTCGGTGTTGAACCCACCACCTCCGGTATATAGGGCCTGGTGCCCTACTCCTTTGAGGCACAGGTGCCACCACCTCTGAGAGTATTATTAATGAACCCATTTTACAGATGGGAAAAGTAAGCTTCAGAGGAGTTAAATGACTGCCTTTGATTGCATAGCTCACGAGCGGTAGAGCCGTTGTGTCTACCGGGGACCTGTGTTCTTTCTTCTCTAGTGCTCTTGGGAGCTGCTGACATATGAATATTTATGTTACTGCAGTGGACTCTGCAGAGCCTCAGGCTGGCTTACAGCACTGACAACGCCACACCTCGAGCCTCTTCCCTCCAGTATTTCCAATAATGTGCCCGCTGGCAGGGTCCCCTCCCACCCTCTGCACCCAGTCTCTGCTTTCAGAGCCTTTCACAGCAAGTGTCTGTTATTCATGGTTCTCCAGCTCAACCCTGTATTCCTTCTCCAGATGTTTATATTACAAGGCTTTGTGAAGACTTTCATGATGAATTTAGCTCATAGATGCTTGCCTGGCGTGGAATATAAATGACTGGGGTGTGTTTTCTGGCAGGAAGTCTTTATAAAATTCACTTAATGAGAAGTTCTCAGGGATAGTTTAACTGTTTCTAAATTCAAGTAAGGAACTAATGCTATCTCCAACCCTCCCCCATTCTCATTTATGTTAATCTAGCCGTTGCTTTGGCATCAAAAACCTTAAATTATCCAAGGCTCTTTGAGAAGTGAACTTGAGGCTCTTTTATACATTGCTGGTGAGAGTGTAAAATAGCTCTTATTTTAAATTACAAAATTTTGGGGGGGGGGTGAGGATAGACAGTTTGGCACCGTTTGTACACAGTACCAAACTGTGTATACATTATCTCAGATCTTCAAAGCTATGTACACTCTGTGACCCAGAAATTCCCATTCAAATAATTTTTTCTAAGAAAATAATAATGTGCTCTCCATTGCCTAACTAGGAGGATTTTGTATCACAGCATTATTATATTAGCCAACATCTGAAAACAATTTAGATGGTCAGTGCTAGAGGGATTAAAAGCTAAATTATGAAAAACTCTAAATTATGTCTTATTTTTTCATAGAATATTATGAAGCTGTGAAAAGGTGTTTTCCTTATTATTTATGTATTAAAATGTAAATATATTCACAATATATCTTCCAGTGAAAAATAAAAGGTTGCAAAACAATACGACTTCCTTTCTGGTTAAGAGAAAAAAGAAAAGAAAAGGAAAAGAGGACGGGGAAGCCCAGAAGTAGATGGTCATTTCTGAGTAATGCATTATAATTTTTTTCCTCCCGTTTGCTTATCTGTGATTTCTATTTTACCTACAATGAAGTTTATACTTTGTTTAATAAGGAAGCGTAGATTCAATTAAAGAGGTTCAATAGAAGGTGGGGTTTTGTTTGTTTGTTTATTTATTTATTTATTTTTCTTAATCTCTCCTTGGCCTAGTTAGTCACTGGGGCTTATGCAAGGGAGAAGGGACTCAAGGCCAAACTGGACTTTTCCAATGAGAAAAAACCACTCATGTGTTTTCTTTCCTCATTACTTTGTCTGGGACTCTGGCTGTGGTTGAACTTGGATGTGCCTATTGGGTGTTTGATGTTATTAGGGCAAGGACTGGGAATACAATCTGAGTTTTGTCTAGCTCCCTTAGACGGATCATATTCAGTACTTTTTAGTTTTAGTTTGTTTTTCTGCTTTTGACCATGGCCATTAGCCACAGCAAAGAACAGGGGGATGGGGGAATGTTAGTCCAGGCTCTGATTGTATTGCCTCTTCCTTAATCAGGTTCCAGTGCAGTTCCTGAGGACAGAAATAGCACTTTATCCAGGAAAGGGCCTTACTTTGATTGCTTTGAGGATTCTGGAAGCTTATTCTTTGCTTTGCATCTGAGGGATTTGTAAAAATAATAGTCAGTGATGGTCTCATTAGGATGTTTATTTCTTTAAATAAAATGTTAATAAACTCACATGTTACCTCCTGGGCCATAGATCAGAGCGAGATTTTATTAATAGAGATTTAAACTCACCAGAAAGTAAAACTAAGGGATAAATGTCTATTATTATATCATAATTAGTATTGTTTATTGGCTAATCCCATAGTTCCCAAACTATGTGCTAAGTCTCCCCAGGGCACAACTGGGAAGTCACAGGGGTACTATGAGAATATTTTAATTTTTCCAGGGAAGCACAGCAAGATATAACATTTGCCAGACACTGTGCAAGGTATCCATGGTTTGAATGTTAGATCACATTTCACTCCCTTTGATGACGTGGCATCTTTGCAAGGCCTGATTTTCTGCAGGTCCTATGATAAAAAGCAAGTATAGCTCAAAAATCACTGTGGAACAGGAAATGGAGGTGGTGGTGTCCAGCCTGATCCTGAAGCTTGAGAAGTTGTGCAATGCCCACTAGGCACTGAGATAAGACATAAATATTTATGAAGTTGTTTAAGCATATCTACTTCATAAATGAGACTCTAGATATGTCTTTTGATCTCGGAGTACTTGTGAATAAATTACCCAGACAGTAAGTCTGGGACCATCTGGTCTAGCAATGACCACATTAGCACTTCTTCAAAAAGTTGGCTGTGTGATTTCCTGGAAAATAAGCAAAGAAACTAGCCTCCGATCCCATCATTGATGTCACGGTGGTAGGGGGTGTGCTGGGCAGAGGAGGGAGAGGATAGATTGGACTAATTACTCAGGAGGTGAAAACTGCCCACTCATTGATGGCTGCTTACAGAAGAAATGGGGGGAAATTGGTATGTGTTTGTGTCAAGTTAAAGTGCCTCAAGGGGGAGCATCTTCCCAACTTATGATAGGCACCTCCATTCCCTATTGTTAACCCTGTCTTTCCTCATTCTTTGGGGTTATCTGCCTGGCTTGAGAAAGCATTTGAGTTTGTTGCCCTTTATGAGAGGACACAAAACTTCAGAGCCAACTTGTGAACTGGGTGATCTTAACACCAGGTCATTTATTTAACCCATCTTGGGTGCATTTTCCTGCCCTCCCCACTACAACTGTGTCTTTGTCTTCTTTAGCTGGAAAATGAAGAACAATGAGGGCAGCACCTTCCTCCTGTTCTTGGAGCAGACAAAAGACATACCTCAGCCCCCCAGGTCCTTGTGGGGTAGTGAGGGAGATGGACAAATGGCCCAGAGATGACCTTGCACCATGATGGGCTGGAGGAATCAGTTGTGCAGGGGGCTGGAGGGTGTTGAGGAGGAGAGTGACTAGCTTGGGAGGTTGTCAAGTATGGTCAGGGGTCACTAGGCTTGCATCGGGCCTTGAGGGATGAATAGGAGTTAGCCAGATGAAAACGAGGGCCAATGGGAAATGCAAAGACAGGAAGTCACAAAGGAACTCAACTTGGGACAGGGAAGGCTGAGATGCTAAATCCTGGGTCAACAAATAAAAGACGTAGGCAAGAAAGCCCTATGCTGTGGTCCTGTCACTCTGAATCAGCATGGAAGGTAGGCATGGCACAGACAAGAGAGAAATTGCAGAGGTGGGGTTGTTGGGTCTGGTGCCTGGTTGGATGTGAGGATGGGGTGGTGGTGGGGAGAGGTAGGCATGACTCCTGACTTGCCGTTGTGACTGAGAAGATGATGCTAAGGCCTAGCCATGCCAGGGAGGAGCTGTAGGGAAGTTGAAGATGACAAGGTAGAATGCCAGTTACTTTTTATGTCAGCTGATCATACAATTGCCTTATCTTTAGCAGCTTCTAAATCCTTCAGGGCAGGGACCGTGTCTTGCTCATCTTTATACCCCTTTCAATTCCTCCTTAACACACAGCCCGGTGCACAATAGGATGAAGATGGGTACACTGCATGATACAAGACATGCTCCTTTAAAAATCAAAATAAATGGCAGAGGTATGTGATCAGAGTTGGTAGGCAACCCAATTATCTGGAAAGCCTGAAAACTATGTGCTGTATTTCCATGGTCCTGTGGCACAGGATACTCAATGTTAGAAAGAAAAAAACCCCAAAGCCTCAGTTCAGCAACAGAGCCTCTGTCCCCTCGGTGTGTTTGATTATGAGCCCACAGGTTCATAAGGCACCTAGACAGGACCTAGCCCTGTAATCCTCCCAGCCCCTCTGCATGGCACTATTGCACTTCCCTTCGGGATCCACATAGTCTTAGGAGTATGCAGCTATTTGTGTGTGGCTGAGTATGGAAATTTAGGATAAGAATATTGCATATCCTTGTTAGTTGTGGGGACCAGATGTCAGATCCCCGTGTTCCCGGGTTCTTGGTTCCCAGTACCAAAGAAGGGTCACTGATAACAGGTCAGCAGAGTAAATGAGCAGAGCAAGCAGGTGCAGGCAGAGGGCGTGCCAAAGCTTAATTAAAGCACAGTGCATTACAGAGGAGGAATGGGCCAGCCTGGAGAGTGCAGGAGACCCTGAGGTTAACAGGATCTTCCCTTTTATGCTAATTCTGAATTTTATGTTAAGTGCGACGTGGAATATTTATAGCTTTTCTTGAAAAAGGATAAAGAATGCCTGAAATTGTAAACCCTCCTCTTTTCCATAGCTGTAAGGCAATTTCTGGGGGTTGCCATGGTATTTGTAGGCTGTCAGGGCACGGGTGAATGTAACGTTTACTATGTTAATAAGGGCACCTTTTTAGGAGCACCCTTACCCTAACTGTGAGCATGCTCCAAAGACCTTCTGTGACCTTCTACGAGGTCAAGACCTTCTACGAGGCCTTGATTGCGTCTCCATTTTGTGGATTTCTACCTCTTTCTGATTGGTCAGTCCTCGGGGACCTTCCACTGTAGGCCAAATATTTGGTCAGTCCTTGGGGACCCCTTTGACATGTCATCTGTCAAAGGGAGCCCCCTTGTTGATTTGCTTACCTACTAGACAAAGCATCTCCGGGCATCACCTGCCTCTCAGTGACACCCTAGGCAAAGCCTCTGTTCCCCTTCCTCCATAGCCCTACCTAACACCCTTGAAACGTTAACTTCACTAAAGGTTCACATTTGTATTAAAACTAATATGATTAGATTATGGAGTGACTGTAAAATGCACACCTGTTTTTAAGAGAACATAAGATGCTGCTTCTGTGGGAAGGTTTGAGAATCACGGTGTGAAATGATAGCAAGGCCGCATCTGTGCTTGCAGCTATCTGGGGGTGACCATATTTTTGTCTGCTCAGGTTTCAGGATCTCTTCTAGAGGAGACAACCCGTAAGTGGGCTCTGTACAAACAGGATTGTCTGCGAGACTTACTCAAGAAACCTTCTGGTAAGCATATCTGTCTGTCACATGTGGCTTCATAACAAATTGTCCCAAAGCTTAGTGGGGTTAAACAGTAACAATCATTAATTATCTCTCAGAGTTTCTGTGGGCAAAGAATTCAGACAAGGCGTGTTGTGGATGGCTTGCTTCTGTTCTGCAGTGTCAAGTGTAGCTGGTGGCCTCCATGGCTGGGGGCTGGAGTCTCCTGAAGGCTGGTTCATGCCCATGGCTGCTGGCTGGGGCTGGCTCTCAGGGTCGAGCTGGCACTGGTGGCCCGAACACCTCCCATGGCCTCTCCACACAGCCCTCGCTCTCACACAGTGTGATGGCCATATCCCCAAGGGAGCCTCGTGAGAGGCTATACTGCTTTTGATGACCTGGCCTTTGAAATCACACATCACTTCTACCATGTTCACTTGGGTCAGAGAGTTACAAAGTTGCTCCCAGGCTCAGGAGGAGGGAACAGATGAGACGGGTGTATGTGGACACAGTCATCTTTGAAGAAAGCCATCTGCTACAGCACACTCACTGCCTGACCACAGGACAAGAGTAATTGCTGTAGATTAACCTCTGGTTCTATTAGGGATATGGGGGACCCCATCTCCCAGAGCATTAATTGACTCTGAGTAGTGACATTTCTGCACTAAGTGCAGGCAGAACATTCTAGCAAATATGCAGTAGTTTGGTTAGTTCACAGTCTCATCTGTACACATGCTGACTCTTTGGGCACATCTGTATGTACTGTGCCTACCTTAAAAAGAAAGAAGAAAGAGTCTTGGCCCATTGCCCCTGAGCACTGAAGACTATGGTGACAGCTTCCCCTTCTTCTTTCAGATCACTTTATTCAGGGGGCTGAAGGTGGACAGGAGATGATGCATTCTCTGTCCTTTTCATGACCCAAAAGCAGTTCCAAGCTTCAGGCTATCCTCCGCTCCCTCTGAAGATCCCTTTGGCCTGGGCAGGTGGCAATCCAGGCTTGATATTAGCTACAAGAACCACCCCTCATTTTGGAAAATTCTAAATTCAAACGAGGGCAGGTTTTCTTTATCTGGAACCAGGCCCGATGCAGTTCAGCCAGGGCAGCACCATCTCACACAGATCAGGTGCTGACATATGGCAGCCAGTCCACAAAGTGCACCAGCCTGCTCACAGCCTAGCGGGCCCGCCCCTGTGGCGTTCTAATGTCAGGAGCCTGGCTACCCTAGCCTAATAGAGAGCAGATGGTGGGGAATGAGGCTCAGTTTCCAGGAGTCAGGAGCTTATATTATGGAAGTTTAGAATTTTACTTCAAACACTTCCGCTCGACTCTGGGAGGTCTATAAAGGCTGCTTTAAGGTTGCAGCTTTCCATTGTCAAACACCAGGGTATAAATCACCCCCTGAGCTTGAGACAGTCCAAATATCTCATAACCATCGCTGAATTAGTAGTCAAATGGAGAGACATGACTATGGGGTGTCAGATATATGTGACCGAGGACCTCAATTGTGCAGATCCCCCTGTAGCCGCTGGTCTTTTTACACATCTTGCAGACTATGTGTGTTTTAGGATCTAATTGGTAAAAGAGGTTTGGCAATTATTTAGTTAATTATGGAACACAAGGCATTGGCTGACCTCCAGGTATCCTCTTCACCCTGAGTTTCTGTGACAGTTCAGTTCATGTCAAATAAAGCAAAATCAGCATGATGTATGTTGCCATATTGATAGGAGGCCAAATTGGGTAGACAAACGTATGATGTTTGGGGCTTTATTTGGCATTTCTGTGCTCCCCCAAATTGTTCCTTGTCCTTGACCTGTCTAGAGATTGGGGCATCCATGCTGGTTCCTACATAGGGTTCACCAGCTTCTGGGGCTGTGAAGGTGAGCTCTGTGCTTCTGGGTGCCTCAGCTTCCATCAGTGGACCCCATGCTCAAACAGTGGATGTTCATTTGGGCTGCTTTTTCCTTTGCAGGTGTATTTTGTAATGGGACATTTGATCAATATGTGTGCTGGCCTCATTCTTCTCCTGGAAATGTCTCTGTGCCCTGCCCTTCATACTTACCTTGGTGGAATGAAGGTAATAATCCTTATTTTACTAATTTCCAATGACTCCTTTTAAAGCTAGTCCCTCCTGGGCAGAACAGCCAAGGGTCAGGGACTGATGAGATAGAAAGAAGGCTCCAACCAAGTGCTTTTCTCAAGTCTTCCCCCACAAAGGGTCTCCTAAGCTCTCAATGACATGTCATCTCTTCCTGTCTTCCTGTGATTCTTCTATTCTTGGCCCTTCCATTTATATATTAGCTCTCTCACCTTGAAGATTATCATACAGACGTGGTGACCATAGGAACTGGCTTTAGTGAGGTTATGGAGAGAAGAAAGAGGTGGGGGAGAAAGATCTAAATGCTCATATCCACATGAGTTTTGGCTTGTTATTAATAGACAGAGAGAAAGGACTTTAAAACTACCTTTGCATAGGCTCTGGAAGAAGGGACCATCAAATTGATGCTTTTAAGCTCCATGGAACTTGGATAGAGAGTTTAACCTGTTCAACGGAAGTGAATGTTACTTAAGAACCCGGGATAATATCCCATCCTTACCTGCCTCAGAAGCTTGACCTCTTAGTTATTTTATTCTGGAAGAGGCAGGGAGCAATTCTTGGTTAGAATTCTTTTGCCTTTGACCACAGACACAGGCAAATAAAAGAACAGCAGAAAGTACTCTCCAGAAACATAAGTGGTTACAAAGCTCCAGGCCAAAAAAAAAAGGTAAGAGTCAGTTTCTGAGAAGGTAAGATGATAGCTTTTGTATTTAATTTCAGACCAATAAGTTGTCCCATTAATGCAACTTTGGTTTTTTGTTTTTTGTTTTTTTTGGAGACAGAGAGTCACTCTGTTGCCCTGGGTAGGGTGCCATGATGTCAGAGCTCACAGCCCCCTCAAACACCTGGGCTCAAGTGATCCTCTTACCTCGATCTCCCTGAGTAGCTGGGACTATAGGCATGCACTACCTTGTCCAATTATTTTTTTTTCTATTTTTAGTAGAGATGGGGGTCTTGCTTTTGCTCAAGATTGACTTGAACTCCTGAGCTCAAGTGATCCACCCACCTTGGCCTCCCCAAGTGCTAGGATTACAGCCGTGTGCTATTGTACCTGGTCTGGTTGCAATTTTTTGAGGCCTGTAGTGCAAAGAGAGAGAGATTAGAAAGCAGATACATTTCTGGGTGGGAGAGTTAGTGACCTGTTTTATGGATGCAGTCCCTAATGAAATCCAGTTGGGATCAACTCAGGAGGCATGAGGATGTTATTTGTGGGAGAGTGGAAGAAAAGATGCTAGAGAACTTGTGGGACCAGAGGGGTCCTAGTGACTTGGCAATCAGCCCCTCTGGGAGCAGCTCAGTGGGTATGGAGCCGGGAGCCCCGGGGTTAGACCCAGTCCCTCTCTCCTATACTTAGAGACTTTGGTAAGTTGCAGGAGTCCTCTGAGCAGTGGGTTCCTTGTCTGCAAAGAGAAGTGAACAATGGCCAATTCTTGGGTTCATTTTGAGGAATGAATGAGCAGGCAGGGCCAGGGTCTGTTAGACAGTAGTTGCTTCATGAATGGAGCTAAAGCTGAGTCTGAGTCTGAGCCCCTTGAGTAGCACTAGGTCTTTGAGGCCTCAGATGCCACAAAGTCCTCAATGTCACATGAACAGACCACCACCTCCCTGATCCTCAAAGTCCCTGTCTCTCCCCGTGAGCTAGAAGTGCAGGTGACATTCACTTTAATAGAAAGAGGTGATCAGAAGTCCGAAGTTACAAAGAAGTTCAATTAAAAGCTATTTTCTTTAAGGAAAAAAAATGAGTCTGGGCTCGTGGTGTGCACAAAATGAGTGTGACTCCCCAAAGGTGGGAAGTCACGACTCCACCTAACACTGTGTGCATTAAAGCTTTAGAATCCAAATGGGTCCCCACAGTGAAAGAAGGATGGTGAGACAGCAGAAGGGTGGAGGGAAGAACTTCCACAAAAACAAAGAGACCAGGAAGAGTCCTGGTAACACAGAGCTGAGGGGCAAACAGTATAATAGGACAAGGGAGAGTCGAGAGTCTGAAGGTGGATGCCGCCTGGGGCAGCCTCTGACACTGACAAACGAGGAGGAAATTGTGTGCTATGCACAGACGGTTTTCGGTGTTCCTCTGCTGGGGAAGGTTCTATGGAGCCCAGGAAGGTGTAAGGCACAGAAGAACAACAACATGCGGTTTGTGGTTTGGGAGGAGGCGTTGGGCTGAGGATTGGAGGGAAGTCAGGGAGGGGAGTCTGGGGGTTCAGAAAAAGGGTTGAGAAGGGTCCAGATGCAGACAGAGGCAAGAAGTGGGAAAGAAGGGGAGAGACAAAAGAAAAACATTGGAGGTGGAATGGTCACAACTTGTCATCAGTAGGAGACGAAATTGAGGGACAGAGAAGAGTGGAAAGTGGCGGAAAACAAATGGTCTCATGTATCACCTGGTCCCACCCAAAGCTTCCCCCCCATCTGGTTGGTCCCCTTGTTTCCCTCTTCCCCTGTCCTTCACTCACCAGCACCCTGTATTTCTGCTCCCTGGTCTGCTCACTGGTCCCTGCCTCAGATCTGGCTCCATTCGATGGCCCCCTCAAGTTTTCTAACATGTCAACATTACGCCACCCTCACAATGACATCTACAAATGGCATGCAAGACCTTCTGCCACCTGGGCCCACTGGCCTCGCAGGGATCCTCTCCCATGTCCCGTACCTGCACCCCAGCCTGCTGGGCCGTTCCAGGCTCTGCACCTGCCTGGCTGCTAGTGCCTAGGAGGCCTCCTCAGAGGCTCAGCCCATGCTCTACTGCCTCTAAACCCTACTGCAGTTCTCAGGTCAAATCATCCTCCTTCTAGAAGCCTTCTTGGACTTCTCCCCACAAGTACAATGGACCTCTGCTTTCTGAGGCCTCTTCTATACTTCTGCTAGACTCCAAGCTGAGTCCTTTTCATCTTTGTATTCCCAGAGCAGAGGGCTATGGCCAGCACATATAACACAAGCATCAGATGAAATTGTCACCATTCACTCAACCAACAAATGTTTACTTAGCATATTTTTAAGCATCAGGCATTACTTTTAAGTACTTGCGACATATTAATGACTAAAACAGGATAAAATCTCTCTCTGTGTGGCCCATATGGTCACAGGAGAGACAGACGATTATCAGACGACATCCTAAATCAGGGAGGGTTTGTCTGAGCGTGCTCTATTTCAAACAAGACAGAGGGGAGGGAGGCAGGATTGGAGTTGGGGGTAGTGATTTGCACTTGTAACCTGGGTAGTCAGGGGACGCTTTGGTGACAGGGTGACCCCCTTCAATGAAGACCTGCGGGAGGTAAAGTTTCAGCCACTGTGCTCAGGAGGGAAGGAGACAACGACAGCCCAAAGGCCCCATGTGGGGAGCCATCCTGGTCAGCTCCGTGGAGACAAGGGGGTAGACGTGGCCAGAGAGTGGAGCATCTTAGAGGCCAGATCTGAAGGGGCTTTGGGGGAGGCCATGAGACTTGTTTTCAAAAAACCCTGGGATGATTTTGAACGGAAGTGTGACATGACACAACCAACACTTTCTTCAGCTCACTCTGCTGGGTTACCCTTAGATGTGAAGGGCAATGACCCAGGTGCAAGATGCTGGTTCCAATTAGGATGGAGGCAGAAAGTGAAAGTGGCAGTCCGGTTCCAGGGACATTGAAGGTGGAGCAAGTGACAAGGGCTATAAGAGACAGAGTAGGCCAGAATGACCTAAGGTTTGGGGTCAGGGGACTGGAGCAGGACTTTGCCACCTACAGAGGTGGGGAACACATCAGGGAACAGATTTTGAGGACAAGTTGCAAAATCTGGTTTGGGGCAAGGTGTTGGAGGTGTCAGACGCCCCAGCAGTGCTGTCAGGAGGGCTGGAGGGTGGACCCTGTGGGGATCCAGCAGTTAAACTCAGCAGATAGTTATCATTGCTCCGCGATGTGCAGGGACAGGACTAAGACGTCCCAAAAGATTTCCACTTCTCCTTTGCAAGCCTAGTCCCCAATCCTCCCAGCAGGGAGACCTCTGGGGAGTGGATGTGACTGAGTCCCAGTAGCCATCAGTGTGGACAGAGTGATCGACACATCGTTTGCACACACTTTCATTTGTCTTTCCCAAACCATGGAGGGTCGGTACCATCCTTATACACAGTTCCTGATGAAGCTCAGAGGGTAGGAGGGCTGGGCCCAGGACACAGACACACGCAGCCGCTGCTCACCAGGCTCACCCAGGCCTGCCAGCCTGTGCCTGCTACTTTCCCTTGTTCATGGCATGGCCTGTGGGGGACAGGATACCCGAGCGCCAGCACCAGCAGCCCAGGTTGGGGTCTCCCAGCTGGGCTCTACCCTGGAAGGCTTCTGGCATCTCTGAGTCATCAGGGACTGTTCTAACTCCAGGGACTTTGAGTAAACACAGCAGACATTAGCGGATGATGGTTGTTACAAAATTTAGAGGCTTCCGTGTTTTTCTTTCCAGCCCAAATAAACAGTGTGGATGGTAATGAGCCCTTAAAGGAGGGAAATTAGAATCCCTTTTCCCTGGGATTTTCCATAGCTTTGTGGCGAGCTCGGGGAGAGAGCTATGTGTGCTGACCTTTCCTCTAGAGCTTTGTTTACTTTCAGAGAGCTCAGGAAGGGCCTACAGATACTGCTTGGTGCAGGGAACTTGGCAGACGCGAGAGAACGCCACAGATATTTGGCAGGATGACTCTGAATGCTCTGAGAACCACAGCTTCAAGCAAAACGTGAGTTTTCTCAGCTTGGTGATAAGCGTTTGGGGCCTAAACCACCCTCTTCTGGGACTCCCGAGTGGCCCCATGAATATCCTCCCTGAAGGGCGCCTGGGCCAGACTCACTTAGGGAAAGGCCACAATCACACAAAGCAGCAAGCCCTGTGGCAGCCTCTGAATTTCTTCCACTTGGCGTGTGAAATGCTAACTCCTAAGTCTTTCAGGGTCAGCCCTGGCATTGCACTGGCCGTGTTCCTTGTGCCTGAAACATCTTTCCCAGCTCCCTTGTGGCCGCCTCCTCTTCATCATTTAGGTTCCAGTTCAAAAGTCTCCTTCAAAGACATTTCGTGGCCTGTGTCCAGAGTGGCCTCCATGGTCAATTTCCACCATGCTCCCCAATTTATGCCTTTGGAGCACTTGTCACTTCCTGAAGTCCTCATATGTTTGCTAATTTGTTATCCAGCCCTCTCACCAGGATGTAGAGCCAATGGCACCAGTGACCTGTGTGCCTCACGGGGGGGATGGCTCTAGCACAGGGTTTGGGTCAGGTTTCATTTCCTGGTTTGGGGCCTGGTGCAAGTGATCTCCCTTTGCTGGGCCTCTGCTACCTGAGTCACCCTATGGGGATTGTGTTTGCTGCGTGCAATTATTGTGAGGATTCAGAGAGTCAGTAGATGTACAGGGTGTCCCGAAAGTCCCCATACATAGGAAACTTATAACAATAGATATGTGGGCCATTAGAAAGTTTTGAGATACACAAAAACCAAGAAACATAAAATCCCCACGGTTGGAAACAAATGAAATCTTCTCAGAAATACTGATAAGCCGAGCAAGTTGAAACTTTCATAGCTCAATCAGAAAGGACACTGTCAACTATGTTTCTTGGAAGAGCATAATGTTCTGTCTCAAAACTTTCATAGTGACCCACATATCTTGAAATGTGTTGCCATGAATGAAAGAGAAGACTTCGTGTGTGTATGTATAGAAGGAGGTAGCCCACACGTAGAGAATATTTTGTAAGTAAGGTACATTTATCTGCCATCTCCTATTTCCCCCATTTATGGCAACTTTAGAGGCAACTTTGGGGCACACTGTAGATTTCTTAGCATAAAATTGGCACAGAGCTGGCAAACCCCAAGTGGGCCCGGCACAGTTACTGGTCAGCAAAGTGTCACGGCTGCGCAGGAAAAGTTTGCTGCATGAACAAACAAATCCCTGCTTCCTACTCCTCCACGTGTTTTCTTTCCAGGATCCTTCTTCACTGTACTTTCTTGTGGGGCTCATGCTCTTCACTAAAGACCTCCTCTTTGTCCAAATCCTGCCCACCTTCCTTCAAAGAGAAGTCCATGAGGCAGAACAGAGGAAGAGGGGTGTAGGGTTCACACAGCTGTCTGGGACTGGGTTTCTTTCATTGAGACCATCAGGCTGCAGCCGAGAAGCACCTGCCGTGGGCTGTTTTGCACCAGGCTCTGGGAACAAACAGGGTGTGAGACACAGATGCTGCCTTCAAGGAGCTCAGAGCCTCACGGGGTGTGGAGGCCTTGTGATCTCTGCTGGCACCCAGGTCCCAGCAGAGGAGGAGACAGACACAGCCTGGGGAAGGGGATGAATGTCCACAGGAAGGGTGAGAGCAAGAAAAAGACACACATACCCGGGGTTGAAGAGTACATGGGGGTCTGGGGCCACTTTGAGGGCTGCCAGGTAGGTGCAGGTGGGAGCCTCAGGGGAGCTGAGGTGATGAAGGACTCTGCCTCACTAAGGACTTAGGACTTTGTGTGTTTGGGTGGGTGTGGGACATGACTGAGGTGTCCAAAGGTTTGCTCCAGCAAGTTGGAGAGTGGTTAGAGACAGGGCCAAGCTGGGGGCAGAAGGCAGGGGGAGCCATTTCAGCAACTCAGCCAGATTTGAGGACAGCCAGTGAGGAATGGAAGAAAGAGGGAGGTGGATTTATAGGTTTCTAAGGAGGGGAGCAAGTAGTGGGACAGCCAGCGATGAGATTGGAAAATGGTCCTCCTCGACATGGGGGACCCAGGAGGAGACCTTGCCCTTGATCTCTCCTGGGTTCTGGATTTCTCTCTACCTGATCCTTTGCCCAAACTTGAGCCAGTAAACATCACCCCTTCCCCTGCCCCCTAAGATGGCTAACTTCTTTCATAATTTAGCTGGATTTTGAAAGTCTTTAGCTTTCTTAAGTCATTTTCATGTTCCTCCGTCCAATGCTAAAGATGTTGTACTATTGTAGTTTGGAGTTGGAGGATGGAGAGGGCAAGGAGCTTGGGTCTAGAAACACTATTGATGTGACCTGAGCCCCCAGCCTCTTCCCAGGCACTCATAAGAGAGGCTGATAATGCCACTTTTGCAGGGTCTGGTCATGAGGCTGGAGAGGGCAATGAGTGTGGCGTGATTAGAACATCAGGTGCCCAGTGGGCACTTGATAGCTGAGATTATTTCATTTCTCCTCAGAATGTCCCCTACAAAAAATTATCTCCCTTCCTAGGCCTCTGTCGGGTCCCCTCCTAGGGCTCTGAGCACAGCATACTGGTCACTGTGAGGTTTTGGTGTTTGTGATGTTGACTTTTTTCTGCACTGGCTACTTTTTTTTTTTTTTTTTAATTTTTTTTTATTGAATGATAACTATGTACATTAATGCACTTCTGGGGTACAGTGTAGGGTTTTCACATGCAATCTGAAATACTTCCATCAAACTGGTCAACACAGCCTTCATGTCATTTTCTCAGTTATTGCTTTAAAACGTTC